CATCATAGCCGCCCATGGGAGAGATAGGGCTGGCCGCCATGATGCTAGATTTCTTCCTGATTTCTTCTTATCCGGGGGCAGCCCAAATCGTTTATGTGAGATGATGAGCTCACAGAGATCTCGCACTCACCTGCCCCGCCACGGCGGTGAACCTGCAGAGCGCCCTGGCCGCGCCGGGCTGGCGGTCCACCAGCGCCCCCCAGGACGAGACCACGACGGCAGCCGCGGGCGCGTTGAGCAGGCAGTCCAGGGCGTTGGCGAGCATGAGCATGGCCTGCGCGGCCCGGGCGCGCGTGCGCGGCTCGCTCGACACGAGCGCCAGCACGAGCAGCACGTTGAGTGCCAGCCCGCCGGCGAAGGTGGCGACGAGCAGCGCGCCGAGGCCGGAGAGGGCGCCGCCGCCGTCAGGGCCGTCCTCGGGCACCAGGAGCAGGGAGCCGTTGCGGCTGACGAGTAGCGTGACGCGACGCACCCCCGGGGGAGCGTGGGCGTCGTGGGGTCCATGCCCGTGGTCCAGGGGGGGCCATGGAGCCATGGGGCCATGGCCTCAGCGCCAGCCGGCCCTCAGCCCGCGCACCGCTGCAGGCCAGAGAATAAAAAGTGCGCTCTTAAATGACAGTGGGGACTATTAGCGTCGTCACAACGAGTCGTGTCCTCCGCCATGAAAGTTCCGTGTTTTGTGCGGCACCCTCGACGCCGCGTGATGCCCGACCGGCGCGCACATGTCCGCACGCGCGCACCGGGCGGCCCGAGGGGCGGCCGTGGCGTATCGACGTGCAGCTGCTAATCTGACAAGGCAATCGCGACACGACAAAACTCGAGGCCCGTTCGGGTTGCCCCGTCATAGGTGGTTACGGGGTAAAGCTGCGACCTTGACAGTCACTTGGTATTTTGAAGCAGTCTGCAACGAGAACGCCCCCCCCCCCTCTATTCCAAGCACAACTAATACTAAATTTTATTCGAGACAGAGTTGACGCGCGAAATAAGACGTAAACAGTCGCATTCTTACCCGATAGTATGTCGTACTAACGTGCTTCGTGCAACCATTCCCAGTTAGTTTCCTATTTTGCAGTCGTAATACTGTACCGCATGCCGGGTGGGCGGCCCGATTGCCTACTCGCCCGGCGCTCAAGTCTGGTCGCAGAGGAGACGACGACGATAGGCACAACTACACGAAAGGGGACGTGATTTTTCAGCCACGCACCTGCTCGTGCTGGTATTTGTGTTGTGAATAAACGTCACTCACTCTGGTCCCGGGCGCTGTCAGCCTCGATCGCCTCGCAACGCCGCAGAGTCCGCGTGCGCGCGCAACGCTGTTCGTCCGCACCGCTGCGTCACGAGCACGAGCTGTGGACGACGGCGAGAAGCACCGTGTAACAAACAGGTGCATCTACACCAAAACTCCCTGTGTAGTATGGCGGTACTCCCCCTCGACGCGGCGTACTGACCTCCTCGACTTATTCACCCCTCCCCCCCTTTCCCTACCTCCTGTTCCTCATCGGACTGCTCGCACGCGATCCTCGCCCCCGCCCCCCCTTGAGGTGAGGAGAGGTCGGCGACACAAGCGGAGACAAAGACGTCGATACCACCCTCATTTCCTGGTCTGTAAATTGCCACCGCTTTACTTTGAAATTTTTGTTAAAATTATTTATGGTGTGTATGCGGTGCGGACTCAGCAAGGAGCTAGCTCTTCCCTGCGTGACAAAATCTGGTCCTCTCCGTGGTCTGGGCGGCCGAGGCCGCTGACGTCTCGTCCATTGATGAGCCCGCTCCAAGCTATGGATCCTTACCGTGCGGAGGGTCGTGATGTGGCCGAATAACTGCAACGGCGGCTGCCATGACTGACGGGAGGGCAGCGGACGGCGCGACCACCCATGGGCTGAGCACTGGCCACGGCGTGGAGCTCGCGGCGCCGCGGCGCGGGGCGCGGGGCCGGCCGGTGTCCGCGTCCCCCTAAAGGCTGTAACCGCCCCGCTGGACGCAGCCGGACGCGACTGGACGGGCCTGCAGGCCCATGCGGCGCCAGGGCCGGGAGTGTTTTCATTCCGGGTGAAGGGGAGGTGAAGGGGCCCACCCCGTCGCGTGTTTTTGACACGGGTTGCCATGGACACCCTCGGCCTGCCTTGCCCTGGCGTGCCCTGTCCTGCCCTGTCCTGACCTGCCGCGCCCTGCCGCGCGCCAGACCATCGATTGAATGGACGGGACGGACGCATGGAACGCCGCGCCGCGCCGCGCCGCGCGCCCCATGGGCTCGAGCCCCTGCTAGCGCCCCGCCCCCGCACCTGGGAGAGCTGCAGAGCTGCAGCGGGGCGCGAGGGCCAGGGGCGGCAAGGAAACACCCTCCTGAGACACGGAGGCGGAGAGAGAAGAGAAATAGGAGAGAGAGAGAATTGGTAGCATGCGTAGCGAGCAAAGCGAGACAGACAGAGAGAGGGAACACCCTCGTGAGACACGGAGGCGGAGAGAGAAGAGAAACAGGAGAGAGAGAGAGAATTGGTAGCATGCGTAGCGAGCAAAGCGAGACAGACAGAGAGAGGGAACACCCTCGTGAGACACGGAGGCGGAG